CGTTTTTAACGTTTTTGTAAAACGTTTTTGTAAAGACACTAAGTGCACTGTAAGTAAGGCGAAATTTAGGAGATATATGATAGACTAGGAATAAAGGAAAGTGAAAAGAAGTCTATAGACTTGCAAAAGTAAGAAAAAAACAGTCTAAAGATTATCGCTACGTAGGGTATATAAAAAGTGATGATAAGAGGGTGCTAAAGAGCCATGATGATGTGAAAAAAGTATAGTATTGTGGTGGCGATATTTAAAGGCAAAAGAAATATACAAGAAGGTGGAAATTATAGAGGCATAAAGTTCATGAGTCATAGTATGAAGATTTGAAAAAAGGTAATAAACAAATGAATAAAAGGAGAAACAACAGTAACAAAGAACCAGTTTGGTATTTTGCCTGGAAAGTAAACGACGGAGCCAGTTTTTTGTGAAAGACAGCTAATAGAAAAATATAGAGAAAAGAACAAAAAGGTGTGTATGGTATTTAAAGATTTGGAGATATGATTGATAATGAGAGAAGTTATATAGTGATAATTAATAAATAAAGAGTCCCAAAAAGGTACTTTAATATAATATAGGATATGTATAACGGCACTTTTACCAGAGTAATAAATGTGAGCGGAGTAACAGAATATTTTAGGGTAAGCCTGGAAGTTCTGGAAGTTAACCAAGGTTCTGCTTTAAGCTCTTATTATAGTGATGGTTAAAATTATTAGAGAAATACAAGGAGAGGTACCGTGGTGCATGTTGTTCACTGACGAAATAGTGTTAATAGGAGAAAATATTGAAGAAATTAATCAAAAACTAGAGGTGTGGAGATCAGCTTTTGAAGAAAGGGATTAAGAATAAATACTGCAATTAAAAATATGAGTAAGTCAGAGTATATAAAGTACGAGTTTGACAAAAGAGAGCATAAGGTAGGTGAAATTAGGAGATCATTAACAATAAACGACATGATAGGAGAGTTGGAAAGGTTTAAGTATTTAGGATCAGTTGTGCATAAGAACAGTGATATTGACGAGGATTATATTGACAAGATACAAAATTAAGTGAGGGTAGTTGAAGTCGAGAGAAGCGTCTGGTGTGTTATGCAATAAGAGAATTCCAATGAGGCTAAAAGGTAAGTTCTATAAGACTATAGTGATGTATGGTTCAGAGTGCATATTCAAAAGAATAGAATAAAGAATGAGTGTATCAGAGACGAGAATGCTTAAATGGATAAGTGGAATGACTAGAAAATATAGGATAAGGAACAAATATATAAAAGGGAGTACAGGTGTAATCGTGTATAAGATAAGACAAAATAGACATAGATGGTTTAGTAATGTTATGAGGATAGAAAAATCAGAAGCTGTGAGAACGAGGAAAAAGAAAAAGAGAGAATACTATATTTTTAGTGATTCAATTTTCTCAAATAATGTTTTATATAATGCAACTTATTAAGAATACAGACAACCCACTATATTTTCGTTAGATAATGTTTTTTTCATAAAATTGTACAGATTAAAATTTGATTTATTTTTATAAACCTTTATAAATATTAAGTGTATTTAAAAAAAAAATTATTTTTATAGGTAGATATTTGGGGAACTTTTGGAAGTAGTATAGAAGCTTAAAACTTTTTTTTTACTATTAAATGGGGAGTAGTATAATAAATTTTGACAGGTAAAAAACCTGTTTTATAGTATTATTTTTTAAGATATTAGCATTTAAAGATTTATAGAAGTAATTTATAAAACTATCTATTTCTACTATAATGCTTAGTTATAGTAGATAATTTTACATGTGGTGGCCCAACCCTTATCTATAACTAAAAATTATAACAACTCAAAAAGTAATAATACACTATGATGGTCATTGATTACTTAAAATTTAATTTAGGCCATTCTCCATTTTACAGTAAAAAAGAAATTATATCTACCCTCCAGAATTTTGTTTTACAATAAACTAGATATTTTCTAATCTATAAATTATTTTTTAAGGTATTTTCTTTATCCAATTTTCTCCTTTAATGATATTTCCGATAAAAACATATAAATTAGTTATTAAATATAATTAAAAAAACATATTTATGTTTTGTGATTTTTCTAAATACATATTTTATAAAACAAAATTTTCATCAATATAAAGACAAAAAAATTACTATTTTTTAAATATTACATCCGTGTTGTCATTTCTCTGGTTTGTTTGATAATAATATTTTACGCATTATTTAAACGCGTAATTAAATAATGATTTAATCATTTAAGTATTTCATTTACATACTAAATTTAATATTCAATATTATACAAGGTATAAGAGGTTATTTCTAGGTCAAAACTGTAGTATAATAAAATGATAAGAATACTATAATGAGTAGTAATATTTGCTTAACGGCCTAATTCGTTGCGAACGAAAAAAAAACAATTTATTTTAAAGCAAATTAAAAATTTTTAACATTTCGTATTTATAATACCATAATTAATTGATTTACATAATCCATTCCTTCGCCCCTACTGAACGATAATTTATAATAATCCAATTAATTTTTATATTGTATTAAATATGATACAAAAAAAAAATATTTTTTTTCAATATACTTAAATATATTTTTCACTTACATGCAATTTTTTTTGTTTTCAAAATATTTAACAACACAAAAAAAATAATAAATTGTAAAATAAATATTACAGGCCGTTAGCGTGGTACGTCTTTTTCAAATATTGTAATAATAGAAAAATTATTTTATCGTTTTTAATAAAACAATAGTTTTATTGAACAAATAATTCTTTTCAAAACAATTTTTTTGTAATTTCTAATAAATAAACGATTTATTTTATTATTAAACATACCACCCCTCCATTTTTTTGTAAAATAAAGATTTTTCTTTATAAAATGAATATTGATGAATATTAAATTTATTTTTATAAACAATTGTAAATGTAAAATTTATTGTAAGAAGTAATTATTTTTATCGGTAGATTTTAAAGGTAATTTTGAATGTTAAATAGAATCTTTTTTTTTTTTTATTATTACTCATAATTGGAGAATGATCTAAATAAAATTTTGACTGGTCGAAAACTTTTTGAGATATTAGAATTTACTATTTAATAGTAAAAAAAAGGTACCCATTTAACTTTTGAATGTTACCCTTAAAATCTCTCCTTATGACTAATTTCTTCTTACAATAAACTTTACATGTAGTAAATATAAAGCTTATAAAAAATGATTTATTAAAATCAAAAATGGAATTTAATATGCTTAATTGGTAGACAAAATATACTATATTGTAAATTCATATTATGAACAAATATAATTTTATGGAAAAAATATTAAGATAATTAACTTTAATATAAAACTAATATCTAAAAAGGTCCAGTACAATCAATTATCTCTATTTTTTTTAAATTTATGGTTTGATAATAAAAAAAACATTTTCAACAATTAAAATATGGCTTATATCTATCCATTAGAAATGCTAATATTGTATACAGAGAGATATCTGATATACAAAGTTACAAAAAATATTTAGTTTTTTTGTCTCCTGAAAAATTAAAAAAAAAAATTAAAAAATTAAAAAAAGTCAGTTATTACACTGAACCCTTCAATTGACTTATTTAGGTAAGGTTTTTTTTTCTATATCTTTATGTGCATATTATAATAACCGTACAGGTCGCGCGTAATGAATAATTGTAAAAGAGCATAACATCAAATATTTATAAGTAGACGGTACTTTGGCATATGGATATACAATATACGTTGAAATATTTAACTTGCATAAGGTCTCCAGAGGCTTGTGTTTCTAAATCGACCCTCAAAGAATACATAGAATGGCAGTTACGAATCGAGGGATCAACAGTGTTGTTTATACTAAAACTTAATAAAATATAATGAAAAAAAAAGTTAATGTGGATTCAAGAGCTTTACACTTCTTGGGCACACGTCGTGCTTCGTTAGGTTCTCACTCGATCACATGGGTCCAAGTAAACCACGTTAAGCGTTTATTTTTCTTAAATGTGTTTTCAAAAGCTTGCGTGCATTTAAAATGGATTTTGTACTGCAGACAACGAACAAAATAATCGAAATAGAAAGAACGCTGTTTGCATTAATATAAAATTTTGTTTGCAAAATACACAAGAATCTTTTAAAACCTATTGAATGACAATTTTATGATTATAGAATTGTGCAAGAAACGATCCGATTGCAGCAGATATCAGCAAATAGAAAAGAATTTTCTTTATTTGTTTACTCAGCTTATGGAACACTATGAAACGCAATCCATGGGCGACAAATCTTGTTTTTCGAATGAGTGTTTGTTGGGTATACGGTAAACCCCTTTGAATGGAGTGTTGAAAGTTTTTGATGATAGAAGCATCAGTTTGCGCCTAAGACTTATTCGATGGTAGAAATTTATATAAACATTTTTCAACTATAATACCCTATTACGGCTAAACTGGAGTACAAAGCAACAAATGTACGTATCTCATTTATTTATGTGACGACGTACACGTGTGCAAGCTCATAAAAATGGACATTAACTACACTTTTGTGGTACCCACCTTACCACCCGGTAAACTTATTGCGGCTCGCGTGCTTTAATTATTACATTTTTGTTTTACTTTCTCCTACTCTCCTATTCACTGAGTATATTTAAGCGTAAACGATTTTCACAAAGTTTCGGTATTATTGCGGTCGATGGAAGCGGTTTCTAGGGTTTATACTGCAAACACGAACGACCACCCAATTTAACCTTACAAAGTTTTCACAGCATGGACCTTATAGTTATTATCACTATCATACAATGAACGGTATGCATATTTTTTGTATGAGTTTTACTAAAAAAATCTCTAACATGAATATATCATTTTCATACACGACAGAACCTAAACTAACGTTTTCTTAATTCTACTTATCATGTAGACAAGTATTTTACAAGAAAAAACAAGTAAAAATAATATAGAGGCATGAGAGCAAACTCAGGCCTCTATTTTTTTTTTAATACCTTATAAAAATAATTTATAAATCTTTAGGGGGTTGGTGTAGTCAATGTCAAATACTCGTTAACTTCAACGACGCTGTTTCGCTTCAATCAAAGGAAACGGCAAAACCTTAATAATTTATTCAATATAGTACTATTGACGACAGTCGACTGGGGTTAGTGATGGCTACAGACCTACAACAACTATTAAATATTAATGCTATTCGTATGAACATCCATCCATCGACCACGCAGAGTGCAACTACAAACTTTTCATTTCTTCGCTGGATAATGAAGTATGAGAGTAAGTAAAGATAACCCAACATTATCATTAAAATTTACAATCGTGCTTATTTCATGTTATTCAGTAAAGGGTAACCAAGTGGACGATGCTCTCAGAATGTCATTAAACGCTCAAGGCAGGAACCCGAAACTTTATGAACAGCTCAAGTTCACCAAAAGAACTATTTCAGTTTTGAAAACTTATTCAAAGCGAACTGTTACTTCTTCTTGTTATTTTCCCGGCATACGCTTGCTCATTATTATTATGCCTAACCAACCATAATAAATTGATAGTTACATTGTTATCATCAAGTTGTATTATTATATTTTCGCTAATAAGTTATATAAACAATCATTCAATCACTTAACACATTGATTCAATAATTGTAATCAAACAAATAAGAATATTACTAAAAAAACGACAAATACATTTGTCAAGTACAATGTTTATTATGTATACAATTTTATTAAATTTGATGCTTACAGAGCCACGCTAAAGCTAATATGTACCCCGGAAATGACTTACAAAATAGGCCCCACCTTAATGGTAGCTCTATAATCGCAATTAAAAAAAAATTGGAGAAGGGCGTAATATACAGAGTGTTCAAAAAGTAAGGAAACAGTTCAATTGTTACAAACGATAAGAACAATAGAAACCCGTTTCCTTACTTACTAAACAACAAATATATGCCTATCCGAAAAAATATTTTTGAGAAATAATAAATATTAATTTCTAAATTTTTGAAAGAGCTAATTTAAAAATTAAGGAGCTAGATTCCCTAGCTTTACTATAATTAATAAGATAATTAATTGACTAAAATGGTTTTGAGACATTTTTTAGATTAGTATTAATCGATATCTGACTTTAAATATATCACTGTCGTAAACCGCTTTGATGTGTATTAGGAATAAATTAAAAAAAAACAATTTTTTGACTTAAGACTTGAAACCAATTACTGATAATAGTATAAATCACATGGAACGTTTTACTTTTTAAATTATATATTAAATTAATCAAGCTTTAATGTAAAATAATTTAGAATGAAGCAAGTATTCCGTTATTATACAAAAAACTACAAAATCGAGTTTTTGCCGAAAATTATAATTTAAATGGCTTTAATGCACAATCACCCTGAGAAATCGAGAGTTATGATAGTTTTTCTTCCTTCGTCTTAAAGTATATTATATTAGGTTTATTTTGATTTGGATTTAAAAAAAAAATCAGGTTTTTTGGAATATTGTCAAACATTATAGAGAAAAAAACTTAATGTGATATTTAAGCCACCACATGTCATGATTAATGATCGTATTTTCAAAAAAAAAATATGTTATCCATCCAGATTTCAAAAAGTTATTTCAATATAAATTGAAAATATCAACATTGCCTGTTACAACGACTGTAATTTTTTTTTGGGTATTTCCCTTTATAACTATGATTGAGAGGGATTTTTCAAAATTATAACGCTGATTGTTTCAACTAGATACTCTTTATGATTTTTTGACGTATCGTTGAGCAAACTCAATCCAGTCGTTTGTTCAGTTTGGTATACAGACAGAACAAAAATAACACGGCAGAGTAAAACCAATAGCTTCTCTGCTACGCATTAAAGCTGAAAACAAAAATACCAAATTTAAGGAACAATTAATTAATAGATATATTTTAACGTTATGAGTAGTAAAAAAAAATGGTAACTAAATAAGAATGAAACAAAAAATCACATATAAAACAGTATTTCCATTTATTGATGAGACTAAAACTGATTGACTAAAATTTTGAATAAAAAAAAAAAATTACCATGTTTTTTCGTTTATATAGTTCGCACTTGAAGAGGTCCCTAAACTCCGGGTGCCCTGGGGGTTGTACCCTCTGCCCGTCCCCTTAAACAAGGCCTGGGCGCTAAAATAATTTCAAAACTTTCGATTTGTTATAGGTACTATTATTGTAAACGTACACAAGTGCGTGAAACTGTGCGTTTTATTGTATGCAAAACGCCGCTTGACACTGAATTTTAATGGCATCGTACTCTGTGATTAACCTACAGGAAAAGTCCTTGCGCTTCGAGTTGATAATGACGTCTATCCATCGCCTAAACTGTATTGTAATGAGCTTATGTTCGCCGTTCGTGCGTGTTTGTGTGTGTATAATATATTTGAGATGATCAAATAAATACGAATTAATAACGACAGCCGTTGTTGTTAGTAAACGCAGTGGGCAAACCGCGTGGACGAAAACAAACAGTATTAATCTTTCCCGCGCAATTCCCAACTATTTCACATTAACTCTATACTTGCACCGCACACTACACTTACGTAAGTTTATGCGCATTACAACAGTAAGTATTTGCTAATGAAGATTTATATTTAGTACGTTTCATTTTTACGCAATAAAACACACAAATGTCAAAAGTCACTAAGGCAAATTATTACATTTTTTTGTTCTCGTTTCCAAAAATAAATTCTATCTAAGAAACGATCATGTACTCAGTCTCAGCAGCTGACAAAAATCGTCTTTTATTAGCTGACAAAACATTAAAAGATGAAACTATAGTACCCTTTTCAAAATTCAAAACTGGTACGTTACATAGCAGTTTTAATTTTGAGTTTTTGTGTATGTTTATTCCAATCGGTGAGATTCAGTTATTGATCATAAAGTTCATGAAAATATTTTGTTTCTCGTTTGAAATTTCTTTGAAAAAAAAAAAATTAAACAACTACAAGTTGGAGCTTAAGAGACATATGATTCCATTTACCACGGCCGCCATGTTATTATAAGGCCGAAAGGAGACGATAATAATCTGAATTCAGTAGAACAACAACGTTATTAGGATTTTGTAATTTCATGAGCTTCCGAGTAAGGGATTCTGAAGTATTACCCGTGGTCTAAAGGAGATTTTACAACTTATTTGACCAATTCAGTCATTCATTCGATTATCCTTTGGCTAAAAGTCCTTTTGGTGAATTGAACTAGTCAAATGCACAAATCAACCGCCTTATTTAATTAAATTTCCCTTTAGAGGCTTCATAAGCTCGCCCCAATTCAACATGTACAATACGACTACTTTAATCACACATGCATTCACATGCTCCAATACTTAAATATATAGACTAATCCGTTTATCATAACCCACTCACTTACAAAATAAAATTAATTTCGGATTATTTTTATTGTTAATTTATATTTCTCGATGTTTCCATTTAAAATAATTTAGCTGACGCCACTATAAGGTATAAGGGATGAACCGAAAAGTATTTAATGATAGATAAATCGAGAAACACATATAACTGAAGAAAACTAAAAAAGTATTTCAGAAATTAACTTTATTCTGTAAGTAATTGTTTGGGTTATGATAAACGGATCATTCTGTATATATACATCGTTATTCAGGATGTGTTTAACTGAGAATAATAATATTTAATTCTAATATTGTTTGTTTTCCGTATGATAACTAGTGTTTAATCAAATTTCATTTATGTGACTCTAGTCAAAATATTATTTAATCTAATCAGCGTTCCAGAAATGTATTATTTTGTAAACTTGTAGGATTTACATGTAATCTAAAGTTAACTATTAACCATTCATTTATACCATGAAACTAGTCGTAATGATGTACATATCTCAAATAAGCTTATAATAGGTAGCGTCGTAATTAATTTGTTTGTTAAACAGTAGTTAACGTTGAGCTTACACTATAAATTAGCTTAAATGCAGATGTTGTGTAAATGTATAATTCTCAACATTAAATTTATAATTGAAGAAATTCGTGCACAATGTGCAAATTTTTACTATGGAGAATTGACTTTGTGAAATAAATAAACCTAAGTTTATAAAACAAGAAGCCGATTAACGAAAATGCGCATAATTTATAGATTCACGTGTACAGGTGGTTTCCCCTGTTTCTCGTGATATGAATGCTAAACTGAGCACACGGTGCCGCACCTTGAAAGTATTTACTCATTTTTTATTCATGAAGAGCAACAATTGTAGCCCACTGCAAACGAACAACGCCGGTTTCGCCTGCCGTTGACGCTTTGTCAATTAGTTAACCAACATACACTGTAATAATAACAACATTTTTATTATTATTTTCTCATCTCTTAGTACCTACGCCTGCGTGACAAATAACAGATCACATACTTTTTTAAGTGCACAGATTTCCAAATCATTATCGTTGTAATTACAATTGTACCGATTGATGATTCGCCAGGATAATTGATAAAAAAAAAAAACATTTAAACCGTTTAACATTCGTGCATTTGCAATTTTGCACGTGAGAAAAAACATTGATTAAACACTAAACTGACAAGGGATACGCTGTGTACTTACAAAGTTACTATCAGACTATATGTTCAAAACATTGGCATATACAAATAATAATACTGGATATGTATGGCAGCCCTTTCACGGACATTGGATACGTGACCGGTATATCAACAGCGGCTATGTCCGTGTGCATTTCGTTTGGTGCTATTATACGGTAATTATGATATTTTGGCAAAACCTACGACAGTGTGACACATCCGGGAAATCGACGATTGCTAAAACAAATTGTACTATTCTTAGTCGTATACATACATAATAATACAATTAAATTTTACTTCAGTACGACCATAGATCTTGTAAGGTTTTTCCTTAACGTGAAAATATACATAAAGCTTTTTACTAAAATTATTTTTAGCAATTGTTATAGATATCCTATACAACTTTTACAAACGTCACATAGTAGTACACTTGATAAGGGTCACGACTAATCAATATCAATACTACTAAATATTTCATAAAAGTATTAGACTACAGAAAACCTAATAATATTTGTACAAAATAAACATTACTAGTTATTACTTAAAATTACAAATGACTGGAGAAGTTAATTATGTATGCCATTAGTTTATATAAAAAAAAAAGCATCACGTAAATATCTTCCACGGATAATTTTAATATTTTTATTATTTTAAAAAAATTTAAAAAGTTATATACAATTTCACCCTTTGCCTACATTATATAGGTACCCTACGGGAATAACTTAATTAAATTTTAACCAAACTAAATAAATTATTATTCAGTTAGTTTTAATTTATACTGTAATTCAATTTCAGAAATATAATTGAAATACTGAAAAACTTGGGAAAACCCATTATTTTGTATTACTAGATGTTAAGACATTAAAGATTTTTTTTTAGTTTAGACTTCTTATCGCTTTGATAAATACTTAATATGAAATCAGCTTGATAAAATAATAATAAAAAATTTTTTTTTCTATATTTCCATAAAATTATTACAAATAAAAAGTGGCT